GCGTAAAGTAAGACTAAACGCTTTATAGTCTAACTATAAGCTCCACGGGGGTCCGGGGTCCAAGCACTATGTCCCGAGTACCTGCGGATAGAGATGTCAGCATTAGTTCACTGCAGCTTAGTGGTTGCCAGGGATCCTTCGGGAGAAGGCTTGTTTACTTACACACATGTGGAAAACGCAGTGGAAGCTTCTCCGTCCAGTCCCTAGTTTGAACGCAGCAGTTAATCAATGTGTGAGTTCTCCAGTGTAGTTTAAGCCCCTAACTTATAGGAATTGTCTAACTCTTTGGAGGGCGCCGGTTACGCAAAATTAACTCGTGTGAAATTGGTCATCGCGGGGTAAAACCTTCAAGGTAGTGTACCCACGTTAAACCCATAGAGAAATCTTCCATTGTTTCTTAATGTGCGAAATGCAATCTTCGTCCATAAGCACGTTTATACTTGTACGACAAAATATGTATTCGAGAAGAATTTGATTCTTCCAGACCATAAGTATTTAAGATCATCAAGGAAATTTTATAACCTATGGTGTAGTGAGTAATTATGTCTAATTTCTTCGGCGCTAAATTATTATTCGAGTTATTCTATCTACTATTTTTTCTTAATTATTGGTGCTGAAAGGGATCTTTTAGTGTAAATGGTACGATAAGTCTATTTTAATCCTAATTAATCGTAATTAATAATCCAACTATGTTGTGATTGTAATTATTTATCTATAAAATAATAATAATTTCTGTTCTCTACATGAAATTCTCCTCTGTCTCGTTCTTGCATGAATTTCTTCATTTTCTGCGTACGTTTCTCCATCTGAAATTAAGCTGAAAAAATTTGTAGTTTTCTCTGACAGCAAATCTGCTCTACTTTTAATCAAGAACAAAGACCCATTCAATAAGTATGTCTTCGATATCTACAACCTTTTAAAAGACACAAGTATTGAAAAATGCCACATCATCTGGATCCCAGGTCACTGCGGTTTTAGTATCAATGAAAAAGCTGACTTCCATGCTCGTCAAGCTAGGTTCGATGGTACAGTTTTGTCCATAAACTACCCCCCCAGCGAAGCTTTTCTGCTAGTCAAAAAACTCATCATAAAAGAATGGAAAGATGAGTATCATGTTTTAGCTAGAGAAAAAAGTGACCGGCTGTTCTACAAAATTTACCCTTTTTTGACACCCACGCTTCTACCTAAAGGAAAATTCACAACATGGGAATTTAAAGTTCTTCACCGTCTTATGAGTAATCACACCTACGACAAGGTCTATTTTAAAATGATCAAAGTCTCCTCCTCTGACATCTGTGAGGATTGCAATATTACTGAGTCTGCCGAGCACCTTATTTTTGAGTGCAGGAGGTTTGACATCCTTAGACAATCTTTCAGTATATTTAACCTGTATAACAATCTATATGAAATTTTTCGTGCTGGTAACTTTAGGCATTTGAAGCAACTGACTGCCTTTATCAAATCAGCTGAGTTTTCATTCTAATTTTACATTTAGCATTTCTATTACAATCACGAATCGCCTACACTTTTTCTTTTATCGGCATTATTAGCCGGATCTTGACAGTACAGTAACAAGGACGGTGATTTATGGATTGACAGCGGAACAGAGCCTCTCATTGCGAACACTCTGCCACATCAGTCTACCTATGCTTAAATTTTTTCATCAATCGCTCTCAACTTCGTTTCTGGATTATGGATCTAACATTAACTTAACTGGTCCAATCCATCTCTAAACAAACAAAAAAAAAAAAAAAAAAAACATGAAATTCTCCTCTGTCTCGTTCTTGCATGAATTTCTTCATTTTCTGCGTACGTTTCTCCATTTCCCTCACCCATTGTTTTATAACATATGACACAAGCTTTTTATTTACTTTTGATTGTTTCTATCCGTAAAGCAAAAACTTGGCATCACTTATACAGCATTGCAAAATTGAAGCATTTCCAATTATTATGGAATTGTATTTGCGCTGTAAATATTCCACCGCTATAAAGGTTCGTAAAATTTTAAACCGATTGCGGAAGTCCGTCTTCCCTTTTTCTATATTATCGAAACATTCAGAGTTGCAAAAATAAAACAATTACAGCAGTAATAGTTGACAAGCGTATTCTTAAGTCGCAAATCTAGATTGATTATTTGGGCTATCCGTACTGAAACGCTTTCAATTCGAGCAAAGTATTTGGAATTATAAGATCAATTCTTGATTTAAGCTTTGTTACAAATATTTGCTGTGGTCATGTGGGAGTTCAGTACACTAATGATCAGATTATCCTGCAAACAATCTACATCTTACAATTTTAATACCTCTGACTCAAAAATAAGTAAGATGCATTTCAGCAAACTATAAGCTATGAAAAAAATTTCCAAAAGTTCTAAAATACATAGTATAAATCTGAAAGACTCTCTTCAAGAAGCTTGAAATGTCATCGCAATCTGTAAAGCAGGAAGATATTATTAGGTAGTGACTAAAAATAGAATAAGGCAGAGAAATTTGGAAACTTCAATTTTAACATTTGTTATTTTTACAATGTTGGCACATGGCAAAGTGTCAATGTAAGCATCCGGGTTGTGTTTTCGCCCTTATTGATGTATCCACATACACTCACTGCTAATACTTAGCGACGCCAAGTAAACGACCTCGGCAACTCTGCACAAAGCGACCGACCCGGCGCGAATAGTGATTGCGAAAGATAAATAAAAAAGAACGCAGAATCCGATAAAATTTCTAATTTAGATACAACTAATTCCATGCAAAAGGCATTAAATCAAGCAATTTTTGTGGAAAGCAATCGAGTAAAAACTAGAAACTATTCAAGTAAAACGTTTTACGCACGCAACAAAATCTTGTGCGAGAAGTATATATGAATTGATGAAATTATTTTATTGAAATTGTAATAAAAAAAGACTACGTAAGTGCGTGTAAAGAATTTTTATTCGAAAATAAATAGGAACGAAAAAGCAAAGAATGTTTAAGAACAAAAAGGATTTAGATGCCCATATAGCTGGGTCTTTTTCCAAATTGCGTTCGGAAACGGAGGTAAGCAAATAAATTGCAATTTTGTGACAAATGTGAAAGTCGTTCAAGGGATGAAAAGATAACATGGAGGAGACCAAGCTAAACTTAATGTATAAAGTACAGTAGTTGTAATTTCACACCCGGCAGCGATAAAAATATTTATGTTGTCATTTGAACAGCAAACTGAGATTCAGTCAGAACGTAAAAAATGCTGATTGACATATGATTCTAAACACACTCAATCGTCTTTGAATGCGATGATTTTTATTAGAAAAAGAAAAGACAATAAAATGGATGAAATATCAGGCGGTGATAGTCATCGCTATTTTAAAGGATCGTTGGACAATTTTTTATCTTATGCTCTTGTTTTTTGTTGCAGCGTAACTTGCGAGGTTTCACTGTTGCCAAACTGTACTACAGAATCAATGAGTTCTCGACAGCTAAACAATATTTAAACTCATACTTAAGCGTTAAGAAGGACAATGCCGAGGCCCATAAATTAATGGGACAAATTTACATAATGTTGAAGAACTCCGACAAAGCCTTGCAGTCATTTCAATGTTCATTGCAGTTAAATACAAAACAACCTGATGTTTTAACTGAAATCTGTCGACTGCTATTGGAGGACACTAACATTAGTTCTAATAAAGCGAAATATTGGTGTGAGTTGGCTGAATCTGCAAAAATTCAAGATGACGCCGTATTTGAATTACGAATGAAATTAATGGAAGGCAATGAGACTGAGACCTTGTTGAAAAAGAAAATTATCGACCGTCCTAACTCTGTTCAGTTGCGAGTCCATTTGGTGCGTTACTACATCGAAAAGAATCAAGTAGTCGATGCTTTCAATTATGTTTATCAACTGGAAATGTCGCAAAAAGATGAATTTTCTGACAGCAGCGAATGGTATAATGTAGTATGGTTGGTGTTAAGTCAATATGAGAAACAGCCTAATGTCAAAAAGGACTGGGATTATTGGCTATTGTTGATCATTTGTCTAGAGCGTCAAGTGCAAATATCATTTGCTTTTAATTGCTCACCTACTACAGCTTCTGATACTAGCGAAACGACGAACTTTCTTTTCAAACTCGATCAATATCTTTTCAAATTCTCTCAAATCTCAGATTTTTTGTGCGCCGAAAAGGATTTAATTGAACTGTTTTTTGATCATTATCGTGGCCAATTGCTGTTACATGTCGTGGCGTTAATTTTCAAGCATGATTTACTGAAGAATAACAACAAATGGAAGGATACGGTTCGGCTCGCTTTACCTTTACTGCTGTTAGCCTTCCAAGTTCAACCACATCGTGGCAAAGAAGCATGGATGAAATATTGCGATGAACATGGTAGACAATTAACAACTTTGTGCCAACGTGAGGGATCATTTCGTTGCGCTCAGGTTAGTACAAACAAACAAGAAGGAAACTTATGCAATTTTTAATGCTCACTACAAACTTAGGTAAAAGCGACGATCCGTTCAAACTTCGTACAAACTTCGTTCCTTGGTCCGATTTAATCGATTTTCGAATTTGACACGAGAATTCAGCCAACACTTTTTATCGATACTTAATATTCCAGGCAAATAAGGAAAATTGTATCGCTTTGTTTCTTTCATTTAATCCGAGGAAAATGATGCAAGGAAATATTAAGGTAGATCATGGCTAATCATGGCTAAATCAAATCAGTTATTCATGAAAGAATTACGACTGGCAAGTCAATATTTCTTCTTTTGGGATAATTTTTGTCGAAAAAACCTTGTATTAGAAAGTTTTCCAATTCTATCTAGAGAAAATTTTATTTTGCCGCCTCTAAGAGTTCGGTTCGTCTAACATGTGTTCGCTCCCACAGTCATACACATACACGTTATGGCGTCTTCAGCGCGAAATTCTACATCTTAACAGAGCTTTGATAGGTCTAATATAATCCTTATGGGGGGTGTAAAAAAAAAACTGAAATAATCTTAATTAAAATTCATCCTGTTAATTAAATACAAATGTTATATATTATTACAGGCGGGGCGAATATTGCTTTCTTGTATATGCAATCAATCGACAGCTGACAAGGAGAAGACTTCAAGAAACATCGTTAGTTTACTGAATAATCAAGAGGTGGTTTTATGGACTAATACTGATGATTTGCTTGCTTGCGTGCGAAAAATCTGTGCTGACAGCCAATGGCGGCGCAACGTTTTTGCGACACTTTTTTACAATAGTGATCAGAAGACAGAGCAACAATCATCTTTGCTTATTAAAAGCCCCAAGTTTTGCGAACCGATATATGAAATTCCTTCTTCTACTAGTGTGGAACGCTACGAAGAGGAAGCTCAGTATTTCAGACCACAATCGCTGCATCATGCAGTATACCTGTGCCTGGGCAGAGATAACCTAGCGCTTGTCCGCGCACGGTATTTTAACGGTCTTAATTTTTCTACGCAAAATTTGAATTTTTGTGGTGCGGAATCGTTAAATCAATTAGATGTTGACAGCTTTATGTACGCCACTACTATACAGGCAAAACGTGTGGTCGACGTTGAACGCGAAATATGTGATAACTATAATTCAGAGAAAAACAATTCCGTTGGCAAACCCCGTATCCTACCATTTGTTAACATGCAGTCGCAATTATGTACCGACGAACAGGCGCAATGGTGGAATGCCGCGTACAGAGTGTATAAAAACCTAAGATTTGGTTGTGATTTAACGGACTTGAAAGTTACTCTTCAATATGGGATTGAGGCAGTGCGTGGTGTAAATGGTCCTAAAGTAGACTTAAACATCATGTTCAAACTAGGACAAATATTTGTAGTCAGAGCTCAAGCGACTGAGAGACCTGTAGATAAGTCGCTGCTAGAAGCTAGGAGCGAATCCATTTACAGAACTGCTCTGAATATGCTTAAAATGCGTAGAGGCGGGGTTTTGGAGCCATTTGATAAGCATTTCAAGTATGCGAGAGCCCAATCAACAGACATTGAACGTGAATTGAACAATGCTGCTGAAGATGCAGTAACATATGTAGCTAACCGTTACTTTAAGAGGCTTGAATATGAAGAGTTAATAGAGGAATTTGCAGGTCTTCAATTACCGTTTGCTTCTTATTGGCAAGCGGAAGCTTATCTTAAATTAGACGAAATCAAAAAAACATCTAAGAAAACGAAACGCTTAAACGTAGAAAGAGCAGCTGAATGCCTTAATCACACTTTGGCATTGTTGAAGAGTGGTGCTTACGTCGATCCAAAACATGCCTTAAACACCATTATTCATCATCGGATAAGGAAAATAAAGCAAATGTCGGCCTCCCTTTTAGACGACTCCTTGATGGAGATTTATTGCAGTCCACATAACAACTCGAGTTCTTATGAAGACGCCGAAAATGATGTATATCAAGATTCTTTCGCTATGCCCGCATACAGCCAAGGAAATTTGAATCGGTTACGTCGAGAGATAACAGGAACTGCCTCCTTTACAGCCACCGCTCATAATCAGGAGATGGAAAATATGGTAAAACAGATGGCCTCCACTCTAATTCTTCTGAAAGAAGAAATCTTAGAAAATTTAAAACCTGATCTACGAACAGTTGCCAAAGAAGTTGTTTCAATGAAAGATAGAATTGGAAATTTGGAAGAAACTATGAGAAAGTCACGCATATCATCAATTCCACCTTCGCGAGATGATGCCTCGAAGGTCCTGGATGATTTTTACATTATTGAGGACGCTTTACGCCAACAACTTTATCAACAACCACAAACAGCTGTTACTACTGCCCCCGCATTTATGTCATCGAATCAATGCTCAGCCGCCACCGATGGTCTTATGACTAATAATCCATTTCTTGGTCAACAGCCGCGTTTGCAAACTCCAACTCCAATGCATTTACCACCAAATGCCTTCAATAATACGATGTTTCCGCCAAATGCGGCCAATTATCCGCTGAATTTCTACAGTCATAATCAACCCAATGCTTACCTACCACAAGGCGCCCAACAAGGTTCGATTCAGGCTAATCAACGTAACCTCCAACTTTCACTTCCTTACACACAACCTCCCATTTCCGGAGGACTTAATTTCAATACGACTCCAGTCTTGAATAGCCAACTGGTTGAAAAAGGACCACCTGCCAACGTGGTAATAACAAGTTCAGATCCTTTACCGAACACAAGCAGTATTACCTTGCAATCACCACAGCAACCCACGTTGAGTGTAACTATTCCTCCTCAACATCTTAAAGCGAACGTGCTCGCAAATCACCCTGCATCTTTAGGTACAGCGGCTAAGAATAGTGCTGCTGTTGCTTCTACGGAAGCTTCCAATAAGTACGCTACGTTTAGCTTCAAGCCTGAAGTGGAAGCCGCGGCAGCAGCCGCAGCGGCTGCAGCTGCTTCTACAAGTTTGAAAGATAAAACGACAGAAAGTTTTGGCAGTGATATTAATAAATCTGCAGTTGATCTAGGAGTGGAGTATGACGCACGGCCCGACTTTAAAGGTATTATACCTTTACCCGAAGAGATCGTTATATGTACAGGTGAGGAAGACGAAGAAATCACATTTTGTCATCGGGCCAAATTGTTTCGTTATGTGGATAAAGAGTGGAAAGAACGGGGAATCGGGGATATTAAGATTTTAAAGAATAAAGATGGGGCTCATCGCATACTCATGAGGCGTGATCAGATCCACAAAATATGTGCCAATCATAAAATATCACCTGAAATGTCGCTTACTATCCCTAAAAATGAAACGAAGGGCTTCATTTGGGCAGCCAACGATTTTTCTGACGCAGAACTACGTGTGGAAAAGTTCTTTGTTCGATTCAAGCTGCCAGAGACGGCCGCTGCATTTCAAGAAGCCTTTAACCAGGCTCGACGGGAAGCTGTGAAATCAGGGAAAACCTCAACGATAGAAACAACTCCTTTTTCACTCGCAAAATCAACAATTCGAAATTTCGCATCAAGCACTCCGACTAATAAAAACGAAAATAGCACAGATGGATCTAGTCCGTTATCTGGGATTCCTAACGTAGTGCATTCAACAGCAGCCGACTCCCCTAAAATTACTACGGCCCCATTTTCATCGCTTACCAATTTCACATTCGGCAAATCGTTAGCAGGAAACACTGGTGTCTCGATAGGTTGCGGTTCTTGTACCACCAGTACGATGACGTTGATAAACTGCACCTCTAGTGACATTGCCACAATTTCATCGTTGACCTCCGCTTCTAGTGTCACGAACGCCAATACAT